AGAGATGGAAAAACATCCCATGTACATGGATTGGAAGAATAAACATAGTTAAAATGTCCGTACTACGTAAAGCAATCTACAGATTCAACACAATCCCAATCAGAATCCCAATGACATTCTTCACGGCAATAGAACAAAGAACACTAAGATTCATATGGGGCAACAAAAGGCCCTGAATAGCTAAAGCAATCAGGAGAAAAAAGAACAAAGCTGGAGGCATCACAATCCCTGACTTCAAAACATACTACAAAGCAATAGTAATCAAAACAGCATGTTTACTGGTACAAAATCAGACACACAGATCAATGGAAAAGAATTGAAAGCCCAGAAACAAAAGCACACATCCACATACAGCTAATCTTCGACAAAGGAGCTAAGAACATACAATGAAGAAAGGAAAGTCTCTTCAATAAATGGTGCTGGGAAAACTGGACAGCCACATGCAAAAGAATGAAAGTAGACCAGTTCCTTTTGCCATACACAAAATGGATCAAAGACCTGAAGGTGAGTCCTGAAACTATAAAACTCCTGGAAGAAAAGATAGGCAGTACACTATTTGTCATCAGTCATAAAGAGATCTTTTCAAATTCCATGTCTACTCGGACAAGGGAAATGGAAAAATAAACAAGTGGGACTTCATCAGATTAAAGAGCTTCTACAAGGCAAATGAAACCAGGATCAAAATGAAAAGACAACCCACCAGCTGGGAGAAAACAGCTGGGAGAAAATACCTGTAAATCATATATCTGACAAGGGGTTAATCGCCATAACATATAAAGAACTCACACAACTGAACAACAAAAAACCAAACAACCTGTTCAAAAAATGGGCAGAGGATATGAAGAGACAACTTTCCAAGGAAGATATACAGATGGCCAATAGGCACATGAAAAGATGTTCAACATCACTAAACATCAGGGAAATGCAAATCAAAACTACACTAAGATATCACCTTACAGCCGTTAGAATGGCTATAATCACCAAGACAAAAAACAGCAAATGTTGGAGAGGTTGCAGAGAAAGGGGAACCCTAATTCATTGCTGGTGGGAATGCAAACTAGTGCAGCCTCTATGGAAAACAGTATGGAGGTTCCTCAAAAAGTTAAAAATAGAAATACCATACAACCCAGCTATCCCACTACTGGGTGTCTATCCAACGAACCTGAAATCAATAATCCAAAGAGACTTATGCACCCCTATGTTCATTGCAGCATTATTTACAATAGCCAAGAAGTGGAAGCAACCCAAGTATCCCTCAACTGATGATTGGATAAAGAAGACGTGGTGTATATATATACGATGGAATACTACTCAGCCATAAAAAAAGACAAAATCATCCCATTTGCAACAACATGAGTGGACCTGGAGGGTATTATGTTAAGTGAAATAAGCCAGAGAGAGAAAGACAAACACCGCATGATTTCACTTATAAGAGGAAGATAAACTAACACATGGACAGAGAGAACTGTTTGGTGGTTACCACGGGTGAGGGGGTTGGTTGGGGGGTGGACATAAAAGGGAAAGGGATGCACTTATACAGTGACCCACAAACAATAATGTACAACTAAAATTTCACAATGTTACAAACTATTATGACATCAGTAAAAACATTTTTAAAAAAGACTTCTTTTTGGCAGCCGTATAGATTATAATTTACAATCTACAAATGAGTTGGTGTAGTATTTATTAAAATTAGTTAGCAAAGATCTTGTGTCTTTTTGACAGACTAATCAAAGTTTGAATGCTCAATTATTTTCTTTACAGAATTAGTTATGCCCTTTGTCCTGAATCCACACTTTTATTTCTCCTTGGGGGAAAAAAATCTAAGACAAATTTTTTGAAAGGAATATTATTTTCTTCCCTGGAGAGGTTGTGAGGATAAAGCTAATAGCTGAATGATTTTGGTCACCTAATAGGAGCTGCTCTCCCTCCTTCAGCCAAAACATATTGATTGTCGTGTTCTACTGCAGTCATAAATGAGAACTATCGACGCATAAACAGTAAAACTAAACAAAACAAAAATGAATTTGGCCAGGCACCAGTTTAAAACTGCAATGAAGAGCTGCTCTTTTGAGTTTAAAAAATGAATTAGCTCAAAATAAAAAATTTAATAAAGAAAATAAGCAATTATTCTAATATTTGTGTTCTTTTTAAATTAGGCAGATAAATTAATAGAGGACACATATAGCAAAAGACTGTTCTAAATACTAAAAACAACAGAAGGGTGGGTTTTAAAAAGCTTTTCTAAAACTGTTAATGAAATCCAAAATTTTTAATAAAACTAAAAAATATATCTATTGATCAGACCATTAATGTGGTAAAAATTGGTTAGCATATTTAAAGATGGCTTTGAAATTGCCCTATTGCCTAGAAGTCTTTTTCAAGACTATAATTAAATCACTACTTGGTTGAAAATGGACTTCATAACAGACAGTCTGAATCTGCCTCCATTTAAACCTAACTGTTGGGCTGGCCCCGTGGCTTAGCAGTTAAGTGCGCATGCTCTGCTGCTGGCAGCCCGGGTTCGGATCCCGGGCACGCACCAACGCGCTGCTTCTCTGGCCATGCTGAGGCCGTGTCCCACATACAGCAACTGGAAGGATGTGCAGCTATGACATACAACTATCTACTGGGGCTCTGGGGGAAAAATAAATAAATAAATAAAATTATAAAAAAAAAAATAAACCTGTTAATAAAACTCTTAAAGGACCAGAATCTTTATTATTTCCACCATCCTAAAAATTCAGCTAGAGTCTATTTTAAAAGGAAATTATGCCTAGTCTGAGTAGATTAATAATGGAGTTAATAGGTAAAAAGGGCAAAGTGTGGTGTTTGGAATGCAATTCTGGAAGTTAGGAATGTTGGGTTGAATTCCTGTCTTCAAGTAGGTTTCTGTTTCCTGCTTACTTTCATCATCTGTTCATGATAAAATGATTTACCATCCATATTACAAATGGAAAGGCCAGCAATGCTGGGACCAGGGGATGAGATAAGTCCCATGTTTATTGGGGAGAAATGAGTAACACAGAGAATGGCCAATGACTCTCTTCCTCCGGCCATAGTGGAACAAACTGACTGAACGGGTCCACGTGAAGAGCCGTTGCAGTGTCTGCTTCAGCAGTGATTTAGGGCTTAGGCCAAAGTCCCAGCACCATCTTATCCCTCTAAACTAAAAGATAACCACCAGAGAGTTCCCAGAGTAACACTTTTTACTAGTTATTTTTAAAAGAAACGAAATGTGCTGTCTTGGTATTTTGTCATTATGCCCTGACTAGTATCCATACACAGTTCATTACCAAGTGTCTCCCGTGGTACCCTGTGTTGAGGTTTCTGGTCTTAATCTAATGGCTTCTTTATCTGATGATCACTGTGTGTCAGAGTGCTTCCATTCAACTTCTCCTCTCCCTCCTTCCTCCTCCTATTCCCATCCTACAAAGAAATAAGAAGTAGTGCTGATTTTTTCATCCTGTAGGATAGTTATTGTCATTATTAATAGACTTCTGATATATTATAACTCCATTAGGTTGGGAAACTATTGTCAACTCAAGTATAATTTACTAATTTTATGATCAATAGTGGGCATTAGCTGAAACATAAATATGCTAAAAGCTAAATCAGAGCTGAACAATGTGAGATTTCATGAATTATGGTTTATTTCCATTTTGTTTCCCAAATCCAAATATTAGCCAAGTTATATACCACTCTTTGATCAGAAGTACTTGAAACTGAAAGTCAACTCACTGAGCTTATCTTCATAGCTTGAAACTATGCAATTCAGCATACTTGGGAAATGCAAATTTATGAATGGGTCTTCTTTTTTAATGGCTACTAATAATGGCCTTAATCAAGGTAAAACCTTTAGCAAATAATTACCTACTTAATTGCTGTATAAATAGGGTAATTCTTGAATTTCTAATTGTCTTCCCTGCTAAACCTTAATGTCAGAATAAATTGTCTTAGGAAGTAGTAACTGCATTTCCTTATATGTAGATATAATTTATATTAACTGCAAGTGCTTTTTTTATCCTGTGTACACTAACCTCTCCCAGCTATTTGTATGAATATGAAAATAGCCCTGCACTAAGCATTAATAAAAGAGGATTCTTATATTAGAGGCTTGAGTATGGACTGTCCTCAAGGTTACTTTTAGAAGCAGGGTTTGAAATCTAGGTAACTTCCTTCATTCTCTCTTCAGATTCTTCGAGAACAATTTGCTTCAAAAGATAGAGTGGTCTTTTAAAATGAGTAATTAATATCATGTGGAAGAATTGAGCTTTCTCAATATAATCAGTATGATTTTTAGTGCATACCAACCCCCCAAATCTGCTATCAGATTTCATATTTTGGTTACTGTAACTGCTCTAATTTGGATTACCCATCTTTGTCCTTTGACCGTGAACTCCCCCAGGTAGAATCAGAGGGAAGTGGGAGTAAAGCAGTAATGAAGGGCTTTGCCCACTGGCCTTTGTCTTCTTTCCTATCCCAGGAATGATTTCTCACACAGGGACCAGCAGGTTTGTCAAGATGGGGAACTTTGTCTTCCTTCCCGTGTTTCCTGCCCTGTGTGTTCTAACACCGTTAAACTCAAGGATGACAGAATTGGGGAATTCTCTTACCGTGGGCTGTCTGTGCCCGTCTTATTTGTTGTGTGTCCAGCCTCTGCGGTGTTCTCCTAAGCCCGTCTGTCAGAGCTGACCTTGTTTTTTGGAAACTCGGAGAACAACACTGTTAACAGTTCTATCATCCTTGCATCACCCAGATAACATAGAGCACAGCTGCTTCAACTCCTCTCCTCTTCCCCCAGGTTAGGCATAATAAAACATCCACATAATCATAGGCATCGCCTGGAAAATTTCCTTAAAAATTGTCTGTCATTTGAGAGACTTAAAAATGTACTGTGGTGATAAGTTTAGTTTTGCACATTGTGGCTTTAGAACTCTGCCTTATAGTCTGGGTGTATGATTTAAGGTTTTTAATTTTAACATTTGTTGTATCCCCAGCTCTTGTGGTAGCTGTTCTGCGCTTCATACAACTGAAACCAAAGGTTTTAAATCCGTGGTTGAATATTAGTGGATTGGTGGCGCTGTGTCTGGCTTCCTTTGGAATGACCTTACTTGGTAATTTTCAGGTACTTCATTTGGCCTTTTTCACCTCCATCTCACACTTCACCTCTATGATTATCACAGCCACTGAGGTATAGTCACTATATGGCCCATTTAATTCTGCATGAATCTTAAAAAAAAATGCTAATAGTGGTTCCTAATATGCACAGGTTCTCCAGCAGTCAGCCCTAATGGTCTTTCAGCCTGGTCTCCCCAAGTTCACATCACACATGTGGGGGTGCTCACTATGCACTGGAAATACAGCACAGCTATTGCAAAAAGTAGCTACTAAAATAGCTTTATATTTTTTACAAAGGATTTCAAAGTACTTTATACTTTTTTTCATTACAAATGGTATCCTAATGTACCTTTCTAGAAAACTAATAGGATCATTACCTTTCTATAATTAAACACTGAACATCCTTTTTGGATGAAAGCTTGCATTTCAGATTAGCAAGCTCCCACGGGCGTCAAGTTTGAAAACCCAGAATTTCTCTAAAACACCTATGACTTGTGTAAAGATATACTAACACTAACTCTTCTTTCCAGAAGTTTAGAAGCCCAAGGTCACAACATTTAAGAATACATTTTCTTGCCAATACCATCACCCAGCTCTTGACCTGAATGACTTCATTTGTAAAATAGGCAAGGAGACCCCCTGCACTTTACAGCTGGTGTCTGATTTCCCTGCCTCCACTCCCTCCCCAGCATGCTCCAACCTCTGCTATATGTTGCTGCTGGAAGCTTCCTCCTTGTTGTCAAACACCAATCCTGACACTTCTCTCCCTGTCTAATGAATGAAATCCAAAAGGCACAAGCATTCAAGAAAACATGGTAGTGGATTTTCTAAGACTGTCTCTTGTCCTAGCCCTCGGTCCTGATAATTCACTAAACCAGGATGACTTGTTCCCCAAGACTTCCCCTGGCACATAGTAGCAACTCAGCATTTCTAACTTGATGGGTTGTGACAGGCAATCCCACCAATTCCCTTAACTTTTCTAGGTCTCATCCCATATCAAGCTAGACAACAAGAAAGCTGCATTCTTAGAACATATTGGCTAGGACGATAAATTATCAGGAGAATATTTGATAGTTTATCCTGTTAAGCTCCAAAATGTTAGGGCATGGAGCATTTTTATTGAGATTTTAGTGGGAGTCTTTCCTCCACTTACCTGTCTGTGCGGCAGGTGCTGGCATGTTGTAAAGTGCTCAATACCTGTCATTTCCCTCAAGCAGGGGTGGGATGGAAGTTACTGAGTAGGTGTTTTGTTCTTTACTAAAGTCCTAGAAGAATCCCAGAGATTGGGATGTTCTGGTGAAGCACAAGTATTCAAAACCATGAATGAGGAACACTTTCTGGAATATCTACAGAGAATACACAAGAAACAAATAATAAATTAGTTGCCTGAGGGGAAAGCAGGTGGCTAGTACATGAGATGGGAGACAGATTTTTCAATCTATACTCTTTTTATAATCTTTAAAAGTTAGGTTAAAAATAATAAATGAATAGGCTGTATGGTATGGAAAACCAGTTTTTGAGAAGTAAAATTTTATTTGAGGAATCACTATTTAAAATAAGTTTCGAAAGTATGTCTTTTGAACTATGAGGGAAAAAAGTGGCTTCTTCCAAAGAAGAAGAAAAAATCCTACAGCGAAAAACAATAGAAAAAATTGTAAATGGAAAGTAATATTGATTTTATACAACCATTATTCGCAGACAAATGTCAAACAATAAAACATCCGAAGGCAATAGCAATTCAAAAAAATATTTTCACCATATTTTAAAGCCATTTCTTTAACAATTGACTTTATTTTCCTATATGTGTGATTTAAAATATATGTAATTAATAAAGGTGTTTTAAGTGACATATATTTTTAAATATCACTGGGTAATGATTGGGGAGTTTACATCTCTAACCCCCAACTGAAATAACCCATTAACCTTTAACCTATTAACTCTAACCCCCAACTGAAATAACCCATTAACCTTTAACCTATTAACTCTAACCCCCAACTGAAATAACCCATTAACCCTTTAACCTATTAACTCTGTAAAAGTCTTAGGTCTCCAGATATGGCAAAAGCCCAGAGGTGGAAATTTTCTTATAATAGGAAAACAGAACAGAACAAAATCCCATTAACAATGAATTAGTCAAATTACATAGGCCAGGGCCGGCCCTGTGGCTTAGCGGTTAAGTGCGCTCGCTCTGCTGCTGGCGACCCGGGTTCGGATCCCGGGCGCGCACCGACGCACCACTTCTCTGGCCATGCTGAGGCCGCGTCCCACATACATCAACTAGAAGGGTGTGCAGCTATGACATACAACTATCTACTGGGGTTTTGGGGGGAAAAAATAAATAAATAAAATCTTTAAAAAAAAAAAAAAAATTACATGGGCCAGTTTTGTAGGACTGAAGAACAGCTCAAGTGTTCTTAGTTGTCTATGCCAATGAAATCTTGACCTGCTTAGAATTGGTCCTCCTCAATCAGTCAATACAAAGCCAGATCCCGGGTCTCAATTTCTTAGTCTAGAAAACAAAGTTTTGGATGTATGTTTGTAGAAACTTTGACGTTTCCCTTTTTTGTGTAACTCTCCTGCTTGTGTGTGTGTGTGTGTGTGTGTGTGTGTGTGTGAGAGGAAGATCGGCCCTGAGCTAACATCTGCCAATCCTCCTCTTTTTGCTGAGGAAGACTGGCCCTGGGCTGACATCCATGCCCATCTTCCTCCACTTTATATGGGACGCCGCCACAGCATGGCTTGACAAGCGGTGCGTCCGTGTGCGCCCAGGATCCAAACTGGTGAACCCCGGGCCGCCGCAGCGGAGTGCATGCACTTAACTGCTTGCGCCACCGGGCCGGCCCCTCTCCTGCTTTGTTCCTTTTCCTTTTCCGCAAAGCTTTTCTGGAAAATAAATTGCGAGGAATAGATTACCCCTGCCTGTATGACTTTTCTAAACAAATGTTTTCAGTTTTGGGGGTACTATTTATTTCTCCTCTTCCCTTCAGAGTTCAAATCTATTGAGAACAGACACAAAGAGCCAGTGGAGATGAAGGACTCTGATCTTTCTAAAATCCATCATACCATTGGTTGGATATCCACGTTACCTAGTCTTTCTCCCTCATGTATTCCATTGGCTTGTATGTCTTCTCCAAATGGGCCTCCACACGTCATTATCTGTTCATCCCATAGCTCACGAATGATGAAGAAATCCATAATGTTGGAACTTCCTTGACCTTTGGATTTGGCACGTTGACCTGCTGGATCCAGGCTGCATTGACACTCAAAGTCAACATCAAGAATGAAGGACGAAAAGTTGGAATTCCACGAGTTATTCTCTCAGCATTTATCACTCTCTGTGTGGTCCTCTGTATCCTTTGAATGTGAAAAGGTTCTTTGCCAGTGAGATTAAAACACAGATAACTTGTCTGTGAGAAAATGAGAAAATTGCTGTTCCTAGCTGGTTAGGATATACTGTCAGATCATCTCAGAATCTTAGATAAAACAGAAAAGTAAATGGGTATAAAAACAAACACTCTCAGACCTATTTTTCATGCCAAAGAGAAGGTGGAGAACTAAAAATAAAACAAGCTCTGCCTTCTCAAGATTGTTTTAATCTATAGGAATGGTGTCATGCATTCTCCTTATCACCAATGAAGTAAAAGTTTCCCTTTCTTGGGGCTGGCCTGGTGGCTTAGCGGTTAAGTGTGCACGCTCCGCTACTGGCCGCCCGGGTTCGGATCCCAGGCGCGCACCAACGCACTGCTTGTCTGGCCATGCTGAGGCCGCGTCCCACATGCAGCAACTAGAAGGATGTGCAACTATGACATACAACTATCTACTGGGGCTTTGGGGGAAAAAAAAGGAGGAGGATTGGCAATAGATGTTAGCTCAGAGCCGGTCTTCCTCAGCAAAAAGAGGAGGATTAGCATGGATGTTAGCTCAAGGCTGATCTTCCTCACAAAAAAAAAAAAAAGTTTCTCTTTGTGAAAAGCATAGAGTGCATAACCAAATGAGAATTGTAATTTTTTTCCCCTCCATCTTAAAAAAATGTTAACATGTGACTTTGTTAATGGCCCTGTTATTTCATTTAATTTATTAACTCTAAAATGAATTTCAAGGAACAAATATATTTATATCTTTCAGGAAAATAAGTAAGCTTTTCTGGAAAACAAATTCAAGAACCGCTGCATGCATAGTTGTCCTAAACAAATATTTTTGAGGTTTTGAGGTGTTACTCATTTCCCTTGCTCCCCTCAGAGTTTGAACCAATGGAGAACAGACACAAGGAGCCATATGGGGATGAAGAAGTCAGCCTTTTTTCCTGGTAAACTTGGAAAGGAGAATGCCACAGGCCTCCTATCTCACACCCTGGGATTCAGCTTATCCACCCAGGAGCTAGCAGAGAAACCGGGGAGAGGCAGAGGAGAGCCAGCACTTCACTCAGCTTAACCTCAAACAGATCCCAGAGAGAGACTAGTCTGGGATGGAGCACAGTGACCCCATCTACTGGTAGCACGGCCCAGTGGAAGCTGGCCAATTCCACTCCCACCAATCACATTAGTCACTCATTCCGTGGTGATCATACGTGTTTACTCCAATAGGTCCTCAGGACACCAGAGAAGAAGGGAATAAGGTTCCTAGATGGTAGACTGTATAGTCATGCCCTATGTGATGATGTTTTGGTCAATGATGGACTACATGTATGACAATGGTCCCATAAGATTAGTACCATATAGCCGAGGTGTGTAGTAGGCTATACTACCTAGGTTTGTGTAAGTACTGTAGGGGAGGAAGAAAATTTCCTCTACCCTTCTAGGTTCTTCTGGCTGGTCTAAGAATTCAATTGACATGAGACAGATTAACAGGAGAAAAACAAATGTAAGTTTAATGACATGTATATACATGGCAGAAACCAGGAAAACTGAGTAACTCACCAAAATGGCCAAAGCGCTCACTTTAAATACCATCCTCAGCTAAAGATAAAAGAAGATGCTGGGGGTGGGGAGAGTCAGGGACTTCAAAGGGAAGGAAGGCAATTCACAGGTAGGTGAAGAGGAGCAAACATTTGGAAAACAAGTATCAGTTTGGCCACACGGAAACAGAAGAATACAGAGCGGAGCCCAGCAAACAAGCTTTTCTGGGTTCCTCCCTGTCTACCACCTAGTTCATGTCATGCTAAGGTGATGACAAGACAGGTTTTTTAAAATCTGAAGTCTTTTAGGCAGTTAAGGGGGAGGTAACAAGAAAAACTTTCTGAATCTTTTGTTTCTTAAAAATAATCAGCCTAAAATAATCCTCATGTTAAAGAGACACATTTGAGGTGGCAGATTTTGTTCACTTCAGTACACGCTATGATGTTTGCATAAGGACGAAATCGCCTAATGATGCATTTTGCAGAATGTATCCCTGTTGTTAAGTGACGCATGACTGTGTAGCTACCACAATTACACATCTTCAACCATGTAATAGCCAATATTTATTGGGCACTCATAATGTGCTAGGGGTTATTCTAAGCACTTTAAATGTATCAACTCCTTTAATTCTTGCTTAACAGGTAAGAATAGTGAAACACAGAGGTTAATTTATCCCAGATCACACAGTGTGTGCTGATCTTGATTTAAACTCAGGCTCAGGTTTGTGCTCTTAACCACTGCACCATCCCTCCTTGGAAAGGTGGCTTTAAAATATGAAAACATTTAGCATTCAGAGACGTTCTCTAGTTAGGAGTATTTGAAGTCTTTTATTTCTTCTTCCCTCACAAACTGCCATTCAGTCATTTTACTGGTTGCCTGAAGTTTGTTGGGGAAGAGGGAGAACCTTCCCCCACCCTTTCCCTTAAGGTTCTTATGGCTGGCCAAATAATTAAAAAGGCAGGTTAGCAGGAAAAAATAAAAGAAAGTTTAATAACATATATACATGGGAGAAACTCAGAAAAAAACTGAGCAACTCGCCAAAATGGCGGAGGTTCTCATCTTAAATACTATCTTCAGGTAAAGACAAAGGAGGATGTTGGGGGTGGGGGCTTGGGATTTCAGAGGGGAGGAAAGCAACTCACATGGAAATGGAGAAGCAAATGTTTGAGAATGTGGCCTGCGAGACAGAATTGAGAGACAGAATTGAGAGACAGAATTTCAATAAGATGGGCTTGTTGTTGCCTTTCTTATCATACTATTTTACATTATACTATGGTTACTCGTGGTATTAGCTCCTTCCTGGAACAGGCCTTCTATCTTAAATTGTTTTAGGCTGTTAGGCAGAAGGCCAAAGTTTCTTTCAGAGTCTTTTGTTCTTAAAAATAATCAAGGCAAAGAGACATATTTTGGGGTGGCCAGTTCTGATCCCCCACAAGTTCTACAGTCACGTTAGATAGACAACATTTAAGGACTTGAAATTCAAGCCAAAAAACTTGCTACGGCTAGCAACCTGATAAAATATTTTATGAGTAAAAAGGTCAGAACTCTGTCAGTATGAGACTTGAACGATTATCCCTTTCCCATTAACTTAAGTAATAAGTTAATATAGCTTTGGCAATATTTTGAACTCTCGGTCAAAAGAATATGTACAGACTTTATTCTGAGTTTTGAGCTTATACCAAAAAATTCTGATCCATGTTGTTTCTGAACACTTGGAACCATTTCTTGGTTCCCAGGTGAATGGATCCAGGCCTAGTCAGGAGAGCAAAATTTGGCAGAAGTAGTTTCATATACTCTTACTTTCTGAAAATTTCCCAAGATTTTTAAGTCCAAGTTCTGAAGATAGAATTAACTCTAAGGGAGCATTTCTTTTTTGTTTTTTGCACTTTATTTTTTATTTATTTATTTTTGTGTGTGTGAGGAAGATCAGCCCTGAGCTAAGATCCGTGCTAATCCTCCTCTTTTTGCTGAGGAAGACTGGCTCTGAGCTAACATCTATTGCCAATCCTCCTCCTTTTTTTTTCCCCAAAGCCCCAGTAGATAGATATATGTCATAGTTGCACATCCTTCTAGTTGCTGTATGTGGGACGTGGCCTCAGCATGGCCTGAGAAGCGGTGCGTCGGTGTGCGCCTGGGATCCGAACCCGGGTGGCCAGTAGCAGAGCACGCGCACTTAACCGCTAAGCCACGGCGCCGGCCCAGAGCATTTCTGATTTTTCTAAATAAATGTATTTAGTCCTTAGCCTCTTGGCCTTTCACTAAAGCATGCTATGAACCTTTCTCCTTCCCAGCTCCTACCTTCATATATACTGGGGTGTGTGTGTGTGTACATACACACTCCATATGTGTTCAGGCATAGGAGTTTCGTCTGTTTATTGTTTTTTGATTTGCATATTTTCATTTGGGCACAAGCTTAAATGTTACACCAGGAATGAAAGTGGCCTGTACAGTGCTGTCTGAAAGACAGTAGTGAAAACTAGACAGAAGAGGAAGAGGAGCCACTTAGACATTATTGGTAGCACTGCAGAGACAAGTGCGGCTTATATGGGGGTAGTTAGCAATTTGCTATGTTCAAAATTGTTTCTGCAGATATAATGATGACTATGAATCCATAGTCATATGCAGTGATTTTTAAAAAGATAACTTTATTTTTCCGGCCAAATTACTTTGGAATTGTAATCCTTTTGCTAATCTCAGTTTGTTAGGAAGCCTTAGAGTATGGCTGTTGACTGTATGGCCTGGAGTCAGAGGCCTTGCATTTGAATTCCAGCTCCACCAGTTAATACCTGTGTTACCCATTTGGCCTCAGTTTCCCTACTTTTAAACAAACCGATGATGATCATAGGATGTTGTGAGGATTAAGTTAGATTTTCCATGAAAGTACCTAGAAGCAAGCCTGGCACAAAGTAAGAGCTAGTAATGTTATCTTGTATTATTCTTCTTGATGTTGGTGTTCAGCAGCTCTGTCGAGCTAAAGGGGGACAGCCAGACTTTTTCTGTAACCTGTCTCTGCCCTGAAAAGAGCCCAGTTCTAATGTGACTGATGGGGGTACTTTCCTTGACTGCTTCTCCCCAGACTTCATCCTCATGGCCCAAGGCATCCACATGTATGCAGCCAGGGTCCAGTGGGGCCTGGTCATGTGCTTCCTGTCTTACTTTGGTACCTTTGCTGTGGAGTTCCGGCATTACCGCTACGAGATTGTCTGTTCTGAGTACCAGGAGAATTTCCTAAGCTTCTCAGAAAGCCTGTCTGAAGCTTCTGAATATCAAACCGACCAGGTGTAACCCATCAGGTTTTCCTTGCTGGCGAGGTGGGTGTGACAGTGGGGGAGGGGCTAGGAGGACACACTCATAGGACTTGACACATAACCTCATGACACATTTTACACACACACACACACACACACACACACACACGTTCATGGCCACATTTGCCAAATAAGCTTTTCAGGGCAGGTTATTTCTTTAACAAAAAAGCACAAGCCCTTACGTGTTGAAATACAGGCTGTTACACTGAAAATATATGCACGACAGAGCAAGAAGCTTGTGCATGATCACCTCTCTTCCCCTCTCTCCCAATTCTCCCTGCTCTTATTCTCTTCACACATTTCAGACATCGTGATCACCCTACCACGGAGTAGGGCAGGCCAAATGTAACGTGGGAATAATGCCAACTCCCGAAGTTGCCTTCAGATCCAAAGGGCTTGGAACCAGCTCATGAGGAAGTTCTGAATCTGGCACTAAAACCCTTGAATGGATAGAGTATCATCTAATTGGATGGAAACTGTATGAAGACGTAACCTGTGGAAAGGCATGGGATCAAGGATAGAACTTTCCCACAAAAGCTCCCTTCATCATTGTTCAGGGGTTGGCTGCGTGGAGTCAATGAAAGGCATATGCTGCAAACTGTGAGCGTGAAGCCCACCACTGCGATTTGGACCTTACTGTGACTGAGAAATATTTCCAAATTTGAATATTTGTAGGGACGTGGTCTGCCAGGAATGGAAGAAGATGGGGGCAGCAGGGATGCGGTTTCGTTTTTGCTTCCATAGTATGCTATGTACAGTTTTTGTTTTCTATTTCATAGTTTGCCTTCTTTTTTTCCTTTATGTAACTACCACGGGTCTCTCGAGGCCTCTTGGATGAAGAAGATGTAGGCCAAATGCAAGAGCTGAGCTGGTTTTGGGTTCAACCACGATAAAAGAAAAAAAGGCTTAATTTGCTGCTTTTATGTTTGAAGCTAAGAAAATGTTCAAGGAAAGCACACAGAAATATGTGTAGAGGTCATAAAAAGAGCTCCTGCTGGACATTTATAAAAGACAGGAGTTTTAGAGCATCTTGCTACAAGTCCACATCAGGGGACAGTTTCTTAATATGTATCTATAGCTCAAATTTAGTATTGGGGGGTGCAGTTAAGGGCTTTTCATACTTGGAATTTGTAGAAGCCAATTAAAAGATTACCCTCTCCCAAAAACAAATTGGTGCAGCTGGTCCCCTACTGCCCAACAGGTAGTTCCCACCTGCCAAGGGTTTACAACTCAAATTGTAGGCCTGGGCTTTCGAGGCTGTGCTTCATAAAGAAGAGCAGACTTCTGAATTCAAAATGTGCTGGAGTGGGCCAAGCTGACAGACCCTCCATGAATGCACTTTGTTTCAAGAAATCCCCAGATTTACTTCATAGGGGCCTGAGATTTCATGGAATATAATGTGAAAAACATTGTTTTTTAATTCAACCCAAGCTCTGAGCTTCTTGAGGAGAGGGGTCAATGACTTCTCATCTCTATATTTATCCCCACCTCCTAGCACAGTGCCTGGCACATATTAGGTGCTCAACAAATGTCTGTGGAATCAAATTGTTGGTCATTTAGGGTAGGAAAAAGGAGTATCAGAGAAAGACTCAAAGATGAGTGAGAGAGAACAGAAGATGACTGTTTCATGCAAGACAGGAATGGAAGAAATCATGAACAAGGGTCAGATGGGGGAGTGAGAATGCGTATAAAGAGTAAAAAATGTGAGGACAAGAATCAAGCAGAGAACAGTCTCCTATTAAAAAGGCATCTTACTGTAAATAGTCCAAGGTGACATTTATTATTTTTGAATACTGCTTTTGGTTTTTTGTTTCATTTTTATATTTTAAAGATTTTATCAGAGAACAAAGATTTGTGAAGTTTCTTTTACTCTACACAATCCAAATTAAACAGCTTTTGGTGATGCACTGTACACTTCCTTAGGAGTATATCTAATAGCACATTTTAGCAGAATCAAGCAATGACTGGCATTATTCATTGGGATCTGACCACTAAATAAAATTCTTTTATGCCGAATTGTGATTTGTCTCTTACACTAACATTTCTTCTCTAAAGTTGAAGCATATATAAACTCAATCAGACATTAGGTTGAAAATGAACACTTCAGTGTTACATTGGTAGCATATTTCTGCGGTGTTTTCCAACACCAACAACCAATTCTCTGGTTCTCTGGACACCAACTGGGTGTCCTACTGTTCAGTTCAGTTCTGACACTAACTACCCAAAGTTATCGTCAGAGCCCACAGGTCTAAGGGCTCAGTCCCACAAGACTGCCCTCACTCATTTCAGATGCCAGTCACAAGTATGGGTCCCAGCTTACCCACACTTCTGTCCAGCTAGGCTATAAAATTGGTGGGTTCCCACTACTCTCTTCCTTCCCTTTTAGGTTCAATAATTTGTTAGAACAGCTCACAGAACTCAAGAAAACACTTTACTTCCTCTCTCTGTTTATTATGAATGATATAACTGGAGAACAGCCAAATGGAAGAGATGCTTAGGGCAAGGAAGGGGAGGGATGCAGGGGCATGCCGTCCTCCCAGCCATTGGGTGTGTTCACCAACCCAGAAGCTCTCTGAATCTCACTGTTCAAGAGTATATAGAGCTCCATCTCACGCACCCTCCCTGACCCCCTTCCCAGAGGTCAGTGGGTCAGGAGGTCTAATCACTTGGTCTTTCTAGTGACCATCTCCATCCTGAGGCTGTCTAGGGGGCCCACCCTAAGTGATCTCATTAGCATAAACTCAGGGGTTCATTATGAATAACAAAAAAACACTCCTATCATTCAGGAAATTCCAAGAGTTTTAGCACTGCTGTGGCTGGAACCGAGGACAAAGACCAAATACATTTTTCTATTACATCACACATATAGATAGAGATCAAGATTATAGAAGCTCGTAGGAGTTAAGAACTACTAGGAGGCCAAGACCTGGGGATCTGCATTTGGAGTGAGCATCCCAGGAGGATTCAATGCAGACGGCTCAGAGAACAAGGTTTGAAATACACTACGTTTTTTGATAGTCCAGCTAAACCTCTTGAAAACGAAAAATTCCCCTCCTGGTTAAGGGAGAAATATTTTAAAAACAATGTTAACATTTTAAAGATTCAATAGTTTTTTTTGGCCGGGCTGGTGGCGCAAGCGATTAAGCGCGCGTGCTCCGCTGCAGCGGCCCGGGGTTCGCTGGTTTGGATCCCGGGAGCGCACCGATGCACGGCTTGGCAAGCCATGCTGTGGCGGCGTCCCATATAAAGTGGAGGAAGATGGGCAGGGATGTTAGCCCAGGGCCAGTCTTCCTCAGCAAAAAAAGAGGAGGATTGGCAGATGTTAGCTCAGGGCTGATCTCCTCACAAAAAAATAAAAAGATAAAAAAAAAATAAAGGTTCATTAGTTTTTGATTAAATGAACTGACAGGTAAAGTTTTATTACCTGTGTTATTTATTGAGTTTTCTTTGCCCCTGGTATGGGAAAGTAAAACTTTTGTATCTTGAAATTTGTAATCTACTGGTTATAATGGAGACTGGAACACCACTGTTTGTTTTTGTCCTGAGGCATTGTGTCAGAATAGGCTGGGTTTTACGATCCCAAAATAAAACTAATGAAACAAAAGTTCATTTCTTATACTAGATATCTATCCAGGGTTAGTAACGGGGCTCTGCTCATGGCTATGACTCAGACTCTGGCTGATAGAGGCTTCATCTCAACACACTGTAAGGAAGAAAGAAATTTTCCTCCACCCTTCTAGGTTCTTCTGGCTGGTCTAAGAAATTGATATGAGACAGAATAACAGGAGAAACATCAATCAAAGTTTAATAACATGTATACACGGGAGAAACCCAGGAGAACTGAGTAATTCACCAAAATGGCCAAAACCACCACCTTAAATACCATCTTCAGCTAAAGACAAGAGAGGATGCTGGGGGTAGTGGTTTGTGACTTCAAAGGGTAGGAAGGCAATTCACATGGAGATGGAAAAGCAAACATTTGGTAAACACACGTTTGCCATGCCTTGCAGAGACAATGGGACATGGAGAGGACTTTGATCAAATGGGCCTTTCTAGGTTCCTCCCTGTCTCCCACACCTAGTTCATATTATACTATAGTTATCTACAGGGATAGCTCTTTCCTGGGACAAGCCTTCTACCTTAAATTCTTTTAGGCAGTTAGGGGGAAGGTCAAAGTTTCTTTCTGAGTCTTTTGTTCTTAAAAATAATCAGCCCAAAATAATCCTCAAGCCAGAGACACCTTTTGGGGTGGCAAATTCTGCTCCCCTACACACGCTTCCACAATTGCTGACGGCCAAAAAAAACCGGTGACTGCTCACTGGTTCTTAAAGCTCCTGCCAGGAAGTGATAAACATCACTTAGCTTACATTTCATTGGCTAGGGCAAATCACAAGGCCATATCTGAGTGTGGCACTCCTATCATGTGCCCAGAATGGGAGAAACATTTGTGAACAGCCTAGTGACTACCACAGGATTCACAGTAAGTTTTTAAGACTCTTTTGGCCATTGTCATTCCTTTGAAATGGGAAATCCAAAGAATTGGTAAAGAACCCATCATCATACAGAAATAGAGAAAAGGCACCATCCGTGGGGTTGGGATAGAGGACCAAATTACAAGTATGAGGAATCACCCAAAAATAATAATGAGAGAAATGCAATTCCACTGAGCCTAAGGACTCTTGGCCACATCTAAAATGTGTTATGTTCCCCAAAGTAGTGGGAACCAACAGTTTGGGGGAAGAGAAGAATTCCACATATGAAATAAGTTGATTTTCACAACCCTCAGTTCTCTATTAACATTCCTCCAAGTAACGGTTCCAAGAAACAACAAATATCCAAATCTGAAGTCCAAAGGAGGGAGGGGGGGTGAGGAAGCTAGGTCTCTCACTGGAAAAGCAAAGATCTTTCAATCAGCATAAAATATGCTTTTATTTCCCCATCTTTAAGAAAAAAATCCATATTTGCTGTCTCCAGTCCTTCTCTCCCAATTCTCTCTTGAATCCACTCTAATCATGTGCTTACTCCTACCACTTCCCTGGAACTGCTTTACTCAAGTTCTCCAAAGAGCTTGTAATGTTATATATAACGGTTAGTTCTTTGATACCTCATCTAGACCCATAAGCAACACTTCACAATTTGATCACCACCTCCCTACCTAAAACATTTTCTTCACTTGGCTTGCAGAACATCATGCCCTCGTGATTTGCCTCCTGCTTCACTGTCCACGCCTCAGTCTCCTAGGCTGGGCCCTCTTCTCCCTGACATCCTAATACTGGAGTGTCCCATGGCTGAGTCCTTGGAACTCTTCCTTCCTATCTACACTCGCTTGGTGACCTCATCCAGTCTTCTAGTCTTAAATATTGCCATAGACTGACCTCTCCCAACTTCTCCAGCTCAGACCCCCATCCTAAATGCCAGACCTGCATATTCAACTACCTCTGTGACATCTCCACTTGAAGGGCCATCTCAAGTTTAACAAGTTTAACAAGTCCTGATCTTATTCCTTTAAACTCATTCCTCCCGGAGTCTTCCCATTTAAAGACAACTCATTCAGTTACTCAAATTGAAACTTTAAGTAATCCTCTCTCTCCTTTCTCTCACACTCCACCTCTGCCAGCAAATCCGGTCTGCTCTACCTTCAAATTATACATAAACTATAAAATGTATGTTACTAAATTTATAACATAAAATTATTTATATAATTTTGTTATATATATTGTCCACTGCTACCATCTGGTCAGAGCTACTTCCACCTTTCCTGGACTTTTATAATAGCCTACAAAAACTAGTCTCTCTGCTTCCATCATCTGCTCCCTTCAGACTGTCTCCAACACAGCAGTCAAAATGATATTGTTAAAAGCTAAATTAGATCATCATCATTCCTCTGCTTAAAACCCTCCAATGGCTTCTCTAGTACTCCAGTTAAGAACCCCAATCACTGAAATGCCCTACAAGGCCCAACAAGACCTGCCTCTCCACCTTTCATTCTCTGTTCCCATCCCTCTGCCTCCTTGTGTTCCTCCAACAACCAGCCAAGCTCTGACCCCAGGGCCTTTGTACTTGCTGAGACCTCTACCCTGGAAGACAGATCTTCCCCCAGATATTTAAATTTCTCACCTTCTTCACCTACTCAGATATTACCTTCTCACTGAGGCCTCCCTGACCTCTCAAATTCAATGCCTGCCCCCAGTCCACCCTAGCACTCTTGCTCTTTCCAGCTGTATTTTGCTCTATAGCATTTTTAAAACATGGTCCTGTGATTAGTTAAATTTCTACCATGAGCGGCCAGCCTGGTGGCATTGCGGTTAGGTTCGCACGCTCCGCTTTGGCAGCCTGGGATTTGCTGGTTCAGATCCCGGGCATGGACCTATGCACCGCTTATCAAGCCACGCTGTGGTGGTGTCTCATATAAAGTAGAGGATGATGGGCACGGATGTTAGCCCAGGGCCAATCTTCCTCAGCAAAAAAGAGGAGGATTGTAAACCAATGTTAGCTCAGGGCTAATCTTCCTCAAAAAAAAAAAAGGTTGAAAATTCTACCATGCATAATGCTAACACGTTTTCCTTATTTTGTTATCTCTCTACCCCTAAAATGCAAGCTCCATGAGGACAGAGATTTTTGCCTGCCATGTACTCAGCACTTAGAACAGTGCCTGGCACATAGTTAAGTGCTTGATAAACATTTTAAAAATAAATGAATGACTGGTAGACCCCCCACACCCCCATTTTTTAAAGATTTAGTCTCTTAAACACGAGCTGCTCAGTGTTCAGGGCATTTAGGAAACAGTGGTAACGTGGTTAGATTTCCGAGGATGCAACTGTCCTCCTGCTTCTCATAGCAAACAGCTTTCTGTGTCTTAAGGAGGAAGTCCTAGATTATAAAAAGGGTTATTTCTTATGATGTCTGTAGCAACTAGTACACATTAAATACCCAAGTTCCACATAGCACCTGAAATAATCCTTATGCAAACTCTGTGTCAGGACCTGATTTCCTCTCATGCAGCTTCAAAAA